GTATACATATCTAATTTCGTGCAATGCATTAATGCGTGCGACTGATAAACAAATATAACGTAATACATCACAAAAGTACAAGAAAATGTGGTTTAAAACTCGAATAGAAGTATCCGACCGTACCACCGCTAGGATCTGACCAAGTCGTGTGAGGATAAGTTGAGGACTCCGACCATGTCCTGTTAAGAGTTCCATCTTTTCGAGTGAAAAAAATCGATCAATTCGAACTGCCCTGTTTGGAGGACTGGATAATTCATGATGATAATAGGTGGGATTTTGGGGTGTGAATGCCAATGGTAGTTCATTGTTATTTCCGTCTAAATAAGTGTATTTTTGAAAGCTTGAATCTGGTATCAACTCATTCGTGTCATTCTGTATAGGCACGATATCTAGAAAAGATAAACAACCATAATAAAGATCCAGAAGTAACGTCAAAGGTGTTGCCATTTTAATACTATTTGACTAATCACCTTTAAACTTGGTACAGGGTACAGGTGTTCTACAAACATTACGGGGTTGAAATCTATTTGATTGGTTCATTTCATGGTTACTACGATAGCCCAATATGACGTCATCCAAGGCAAATTAAATCTGCGAAAGAAATATAGCTCTTCTAAACAAAAAACTTAATATCAATAATTTCTTTCATGTTGCCATTCGAATGTTAATGTAGAATCATATATGATGTCAAACACACTATTTAAATTGGTTATTTTATTTCCTATGTAGCCAAGCATAATATAACAAATATACGACTAAGGCAGATGAACAGTTATTTTTACTGGGATAACGCCAGAGCTCACGAGGCCATCCTGTCAACTAGTACAGTGGATGAGTTGGAACTGCATTGACCATGACGTATATCTCCCGAATTTTGCCCCAAGTGACATTTACTTTGACAGTGAACTTGAATGGGAGCTAAGTGGAATAAGTTTTCAAAATTCAGATGATGTAAAAAAATATGTTGTGGGAATATTCCAAAAAATGAGTTATCATGGATTTCACCATCGGTTTAGAGTGGCTACTATCAATGACTTAAAATTTTCAGGTCTGTGGTACTACATTGAAAAATATATTGCTAATTGTTGCAATCATACAGAGTAGCATGAATAATTGTTTGAACAATTTTTTTTTTTTTTTTTTATAAGAATTTATTCATTCAAACTTATTAGCAAATACATAATTCCAATCGCCCGAAGGCATTATAGGAAAAATGGACATTTAAACAATATATATTAATACATATAATAAGTCATAATAGTACACTATACAACAGGTTAAAGGGGATGCACTTGTAGGGTGGGGATAGGGGAGGGGTGTTTGGAGGGGAGACTAAACAGGTTCACTTGAGGAGGGAATTCAGATATTGGCAGAAATAAAATCAGCCACTTTGGACAAGAGTTGCGAATTTGTTTTTAAAGGTAGATCAGGATCTCCATAATAGAATAAAGAAAGTAAATCAGCTTGATTTTTATGTTTATTAAAGGCTCCTGGTGCAATCAATTCAATGTCATTTTTTAATGTTTGAAAATTCAATTCATTATTTGGACATTTCAGAAAAAAGTGCCTTGGCGTACTGGTAGCTCCACATGAGCAATTTGGGCCATCAATAAAGGTAAAGTTATGGGCGTATAGTTGAGCCCTAAAAAGTAAATCAGCTCTAAGTCTGTTTATGATTATTTCTTGTTTTCTTGTCAAATTAAGAAAGGTAGATGGTAGAGTGAGTTTTTTGGGAGCAAAATAAGTTTTTTGATATTTTTTGAAAGTCTGAAGTGTCTTCTTTTCCCTGATATATGATGGCAGCATTGACCATGAACTGATTGCACCTAGGACTGCTGACTCCAAGAATCTGTTGCTACAGCGGATAGGTAGCTTGAAGTCAAAAGTGTTACGATTAGTTCTAATGCTTTTATTTTTGTACTTCTCAAAGATCTCATTTAGATATACAGGATTTGTTCCATTGACAACCTTGTACATGAAATTATTAACTTGCATCTTCCTTCTGTCCTCTAATGTATGCCATTGTAGTAAAGTGAGCACTTTAGTGGTATAACTACCATGGGAACAGCCTGAACACAAGATGGCTGCTTGGTAATACAGCTTATTCAACCGTTCAAGTAAATATTTGGAAGATTTGTTGTATAATACAACACCATAGTCAAAATATGGACGGATGAATGAGGTAAAGATTGTCTCCAAATGTTTGGCTGTCAGTTTACCTTGGAGTTTTTTTAGAGGATTTAACATTTTTTTTACCTTTGTACAAATCTCATCAATATGATTTATATTTGAGAGGCATTCATCAAAACAGTAACCAAGATGTTTATGGGTTGCAATTCTTTTGATTTCAGAGTTATTGAGAAATGATGTGGTCACGTTTTCGATTGGCATTCTTGGAGTATGGAAAATGACTTCGCAGCTCTTCTCAGGTTTAAACTCGAGCTTCCATAATTTGGACCAATTTTGAATTGCTTCCAGGTTACTTGCAACAGATTGATCAATCTCATTCGGATTTTTGGGGTCAAAAGAGAACTGCAGTGAAGTATCATCTGCGTATATATAGCACTCTGTGTCAATTTTATCTGGGAGATCATTTATGTACAGTAAAAAAAATAGAGGTCCCAAAATTGATCCTTGTGGAACACCGCAATTGATAAAATTGGCCTCCGACATAGAAGACGAAGCACCAGCTAAATTTACATACATTTTTCTGTCAGAGAGATAGGATTTTATGACATTTAGTAACTGTCCCTTATACCATAAGATTTGAGTTTCAATATGAGTAAGTGATGAGGGACTTTGTCAAATGCTGATGCAATATCAAGAAATATTCCTTTTGATGCCTTTCCTTCTTCAAAATTATTCTGAAGGAAGTGTTCTATAGTCAAAAGTTGGGCTTGTGTGCTATGTCCAGGAAGAAAACCTGCCTGGTGTTTATTAAGTAAATTATTAAAAGTCAAATGCGTTCGAATTCGATCAGCTATTACCCTTTCAAACAGTTTGGATATAGTGTTTAATAAGGTAATCGGGCGGTAATTGTTAGTGTCAGACTTGTCACCTTTTTTGAAAATAGGACAAACTATGCCCACCTTCCATGGTTCTGGAAAAACATTTCTTGAACATAGTCTGTTAAATAAGGTAGATAGAGGTCTTGATATTGTGTGTGCTGTGAGGTTAAGCATTTTGTTCGTGATCATATCAGGTCCACAGGCTTTTGAAGTGTCAAGTAACAAAATTAATTTCATCAATTCATCTGGATTGGTCGCAACTGAAATGAGTAAAGAGTTGGTTCTGTCAGGAAAATTAGGCAATTGGTCAAAATTTATATTATCCATATGATTTTTGGATGCAAACAGCTTTAGAAAGGCATTTGCCTTCTCAAGGTTATCTGTTATTGGTGGTTGATTTTGATTAAGCAGTGGTGGAATTTGGGAATCAGCACTTTTACCAAGAAACAGCCTTATTAGTTTCCAATAATTCTTATCATTTTTACTAAAGTTATTAATGGAATCGCGGTTTTTTTTATCATGATATTCTTTAAGATTCGTAATAAGAGTCGTTACTTTGATTGATTGATTGTCATAAAGATGTCTATTGAGGGTGGTAGGTGATGATTTGAGTTTCCTAAAAAGTAATTTCTTTTTGTTGATTTCTTGCCTAAGATTTTCATTAAACCAGGGCTGATCCTTAGATTTGATAGTGATATTCTTATTTGGAATGTGTTTTGAGTAAATATTCATAAGTGAATTGCCAAAATGTGAGGTCACTTTGTTTATATCAATGTCTGAATCAATAATTTTCTGCCAGTCGGTGTTTCGGATTGAATTGTTTAAATTTTCAAGATTACACAGATCATATTTCCAAATAGTTTTCCTAACAGGCTGTTCCTTTGTGATGCTTAGTTTTAAATATGATAAAATGGTGCAGTGATCTGCTCTTCCAATTGGGTCAGTTATACTCCAAGATGTAAAAATATCAGGTGAGTCAGTAAGAATATGATCGATGCATGATTGAGAGTTTGAACAATTGCAATTAAAAGTTCATTTTTTAATAAAATAAAGTTTTTAAAACTAACATTTATATTGTATTTATTAAATTGTTCATTCTATTTTCTGCTAAACAAATAATTTGCCCTGGGTGACGCCACATCGGGTTACCATAGCTACAATAAAATCAACCAATCAAGCAGAAAAATCTGATATTAAGCGTACGCGCTCAATAATGTTTGTACAAAGTTTCAAGAAGATTGGTTGAGTAGCATAATGAAATAGCAACATCTTTGATCACCCTGTATATTGATGACATATATAACTATTGAGCTTTAATACACTGACTCTAGTGTAATAGATAAACTAACTATTAACTTCCATATTTCTAACCCTATGGATTTAGTATGGTAACTTTAAAATATGTTTATGGTATTTATTGGTTCAAAACACGACAATATGGAGCTCAAAACGCGATGGGGTCGGAAATGAAACACGGTAGGATCGGAAGAGAAACGCGCTTGGGTCGGATCCATTCTATAAATTTAACCTGCAGAGTCTGATACTCTTAAAATCAGTATATACCAAGAAACATTTGATTTAAATAATATACCACAATATGGTACATTTGACACGGAAACGACGATGTGGAAGCAGAAACCCACTCTCGCCGCATGTATGTCGTCACCACAAATCCAATGTTTTCGAGCATTCAAACACTTAGATAACTTTTTTCAGTTTAATATTTATATATTTAGCAATTTAAATCGCGCAGTATAAATGTAAAATCAAAAAATACTCTAATACTCATCTCCGAATCCCCCCCTGTAGAAGCGGTATGGTCGGACCTTGTGCACACGAACGGACCATATCATACGGAGCGGGATGTGGACCGTTGAATATTATAAAGAGATTACCAAGTTGCTCCACAACAATTAGATAGTTGATAAAATAGAATCAGTAGTTAAAATTACTTGTTGGGATGAGTTTTCTTGAGATGAGTTGTCTCGTTACCTTGGTAAACGAATATCATCATGTCGCTGCTGCTCGGTTGCACTGCGTCTCTTGCAGACAAAGTATACAATGACAGATAGTATAACAACGGCGGCGAGAGATCCTACGACCGCCCCGACAATGACACCTACTGATGGTCCGCCTATTTAAATTGATGATACAATTATTGACAACAGTTTCACATGTAATTTAATGAATTTATGTATACGTATTGATGTTTGTTTGTTTTTTCTTTGAATTTCCTTCTTTATTTGATATATTGTCCTACCAAATCTATATATTGCCATTTAAAATATTTTAATAATTCATACTTTTTTAAGAAAATGGTGGAGTTGCAGTATTGGCAATTAAGAAAGTTCAAATTGTAAATGTACTGTATTTGTAGTAAAAAAGGATACAACACGATGTAATACAATATTGGGGGTCCGAATGAAAATATACAGTGCTTAGGATAATATTTGTAGCAACAATTTTATATAGACAAACATAGACCCAAAATGCATGGTGTTCAATCAGGCCGAAATGGAATACCATAAATGTCATGAGACAATTAATAAAGGTAAGGAAAAACTGATTCAACATCAAGAAAAAACTAGATGGTTTTGAAATTCAAAACTATTCCAAGATCTCATTTGTGGCAAGGAACATCAGCTACTTTCAACCAAGAAATTATGAAGCTTGCTTCTCAAATGATCTTCACGACTCGATTTAATATTATGCTTATCTCCCTGACCGAAAATAGAATATTGAATCATTTTCTTTTCACTGATAAGAATTTGGTATGTCAGTACCACTTTCCTTGATGATGAATCCAATCGCATCAAATGTGTTATGCGTATGATACTGTATCTCCCTGATACGTGTCTCTGTTTAAGCTGTTCGTTTTGTTACAATATAACTTAAAATTGTCACTTTACTTGTAATTTTGCCACTTGAAATTGTAATTTTGCCACCTTGAAATGGCCATTGAAGGTCAAATCCTGAACATTAAGTCAGATTTGAACATCTGAAAACGTGTAGATGATATTGAAAAAATGAGATCAATTTAAACAGTATTTGTTAAGTTATTGGAAGTTGTAAGAGTTTGTTACAGACGCCGATCGCCAATCGGCAACAGCCGATCGCAAACCGCCGTCAAGAAACGGAGACCATAACAATATGTCACCACTTTTTGGTGGTGACATAAAAATAGACGATTTTGGACGAGTATGTGATTCACTACAGAACAAAATTGCTTATATGTAGTCACTTCGCTCAGTGGGTATGAATGTTTTCACAATAACAGTCCCCTTACATGGCTTGATTACGTCCCCAGTACCGTCACCACATGGTGGGCATACATTAGCAGGCACGGTACAGTCTTGTCGTGCACTGTCATGTACCAAGCCTGAAAACATATCGATTAAGGAATTAAATACGTTTAAAAAGCTGTAGTAAGAAATTCATGAAAATCATGAAAATTGGTCAATGCTGCAACTTCTGTCTCAAATAATTGCTTATTTTTGACACACGAACAGTCGCGTTTTCGCTGGCCGAAATGAACTAAAAAGTTTTCTTCTCACTCAATACATAACCAATGTTAAAATTCTTAAACTGTATTACAAGCAGCAGTATTTCCTAGGATGTTTGTTTTATTCATTTATTTTATTATTTATTCCAACAGGATCTTAAGAGGTTCTGGACAAATCATTTGATTCTGGACTTGTCATATTTTTTTTTCAACGAAATCACATCCAAGGGTTGAATTTTTATTAGCTATTTAGAGAGTGAGTCCTGCCTAGTATTAATTTCAATAAAAAAAAGTTAAAATAGAACCCTATTTGAGAGTCAATATAATACTTACATTACATTGATAAATTAAGGCAAATCCTGAAATATTTTTAAAGTGCATTTTTTATGAAATATTATCCAGCAAGTATTTAAATGAAACGGTCTTATTTAAATACAAATCATAACATGATATTTTTCATGAAACATTTTTCAATGAAATTCAATTGAAGGGTCAAGATAAAACGAGCTAATTTAGGTGAAAACCCTTACATGATGATGTGTTTTCATAACTTCTTTCATAAAATTCCATCAAGGGGAGAAGATAAAATGATCGAATTTTAGTGATTTAAGGATCACGAGAATATGTTTTCTTTGATATTTTCTATGAAATCCCATCCAATGGTCAAGGTAAAATTTTGATTTTGATTTTGATTTGGTCACGTGTTCGAAAGATCCATATAAGGCCCATAGAACCATATAGGAACGTCATTTTGAATGTCACGTGATAGATCCATATAAGGCTTTTAGAACCATTTATGGAAAGATGAGGGAAGCCCCTGACACCTGTTTCACGATTTTTATGCACTTCATTATTGTACCGAAGTTTGCCGATTCGATTCGTCGTATTTCGGAATCCTGGTGACAATTTTATACTCCATTGGAGTATTTTTGACCTACTTCTTCCGACGGAAATTCCCGAACCTTGTTCGGATTAATCCGGATTTTCTGACCTACCTTATCTACCGAGATTTCACGAGTTAACATTCGTCTCATTCCGGAATCCTGGTGACAATTTTATACTCCATTGGAGTATTTTTGATCTACTTTTTCTGGATTTTGCCCTACTTATTATATCTTGACAACAAGCAAATCAAAAAGTTCGACATGAACGGGTCTCGATCAACTAACCTAGACTATGGAAGCCAGGCACGCTATCCATTAGGCCAACGAGCTACCGATATGAAAGAACAAAAGTATTATATATTTATACCGAGCGTCAATTCAAAATGATCCTCACTTTTGTCTCCACTTAAATACAACTCGTCAGTTGTATCCAGAATAGTAGAACGCCTATGGCGCTAGTGAATAACCAAGTCCCAGGTGAGTGGTTCGTATCCCTCCGTGATATACTATTTTTGTTTTATTAAATACGACAGAAAGGAGCAAGGTGTAGGTTGAAAACAAGACGTTAGTTTGTTTCAAAACAGTTTGGAAACATTAATCTCTGATAATTTAAGGTTTTCCACTCCTGAAGGGCCTCTAGATCTATGAAATTCAATAATCCACTCAGTAAAAATACGATTTCTCTGCAACCTGATGTCCAATCAAGATCATTCAAATATATATGTGTTCCTGACACGTTTGGGCGTCCGGGAATAAAATTGCTTGTGAAAACTATTTACAAAAGTGTTCCAGAGACCCTTATCTACTTGGCTAAGGTTTTATTTGAAGATACATTGCCTTATTAGCAGGTAGAGGGGCATACAGAACACAGAAGCAAATGCTATGTTGAAAATTTTCTATATTTCAATTTGAACCTGTGTTTACATGTCACGTAGGCCAGTGTTTTATATGGGGATTATATGTACTTTCCTTGTTTACATGAACGTAAATCATTACATGAAATCTGCATTCTTCTGGGTTTAATCTGGGTTTGTATTGTCTTATTGGGGCTTTTCGACTTTAAAACAAACCCTACCTAAATGGATTGTGTCTCGGGAACGTTTTTGTAAATAGTTATTATAAACAATTCTGAAAGAATATCACATATTTTTGTCTTCCCGATTTCAGTCATGAATTACGTCAATTTCTCGTGCAAACATTGGGTAGACGTTGTCATAACCGGATGCCCGAACGTGTCAGGAACATATAGATACTCGAATGATGTTGATTGAACATCAGGGTTGAGAGAAATCGTAATTTTACTGAGTGGCTTCACGAAAAAATAAGCAGCACTTTAGGCCACCTAAATACAACTCGTCAGTTGTATCCAGTTGGAATCCCAGCGTAATGTTTTTAATTATATGGTTGTGCTTTGATTTTACGCTGAAAACATTTATAACTACGTCAACTTTATATTAAAACATTTATCATCTTTTCAGTTGTATTAAAATGTAAAATATGATATATGTCAGCTTATTGCTTTCTGGAGAACAGTCAAGGTTTAAATTTGGTACAATGAATCGGACACTCGTGTAAATCGACATGGTTATAACATTGAACTCAATGCAGTAAATTAGTTATTTCTATGAATCACAGCGGGATTGGTTTCATTTTATATGATTGCCAACTCTGGCGGTTTTTTTGTAAATGCTTTTGACCGCTGTAAATGTGAAACTGATACAGTATTATTCAATTGTTTTATGTCTTGGTCACATTTGCTCCGATTTTCACTACGGCGCCCGGCCGATTGAGTATTGTGTTCAGAAATGTATTCAATTTTGAACAAAATACTCGCAGCAAATGTGATCCAGGCATTACACAGCGGTATTTCGAACATACTATTGTTGCTTAACCACGACCTAGCCAATTTTAAAATCATACTCCTTATTTAAATCCAAGTAAACGATCAATGTCTAGGTATTTGGCGTTTGATGATACTATGGCCCTTGGCGAATTATGATTAGATGAACCGAGGTCAACATTAATGTTTCTTGTACAAGGTCATCCCAAGGTCTAAGATAAATATTTAGGTATTTTACGTTTCAAGACCTTTGGACAAATTCGATTCAACGATGTATTAAAGTTAAAATGTATACAGAGATAAAATAGGTTATCTCCTATCGTTTCCTTGTGTATACGTTTATGTCTCTGCGTAATAACGCAGATGCGAGCAGGTAGTTACCAATCTCACCACAAGGTGGCTCGTTCGGGTCAGATAGCATGGCGGGTATGGTAGAAAGTTCCCTTTAACTTAAAGTACATCTGTTTCGTGGTTCAATTTTCATATCACCCTTAAAATGTATCTAATAGCAATGCAATTAAAATATGTCCAGTGAACGAAAATGCAATACAATAGATATTTCTCTTTTTGTGATTTTGTAACAATGGGGTTATTTTTTGTATATGTAACATGGTCATTTTCACATTTTATATTATTACTGTTCATATTAATCAATCCCTATTCATCTCAATATAACATGTCCCTAAGTAGGTTGTTTGCAGTTTTACTCTTTTAATACCATGTTCACTTTTCACCTTGAGTTATTCAACTATGCAAACTGTGTCAGTTTTATACATCTATTGTTCCCCTATATGGTCTTTCTCACTCACATGTAGCTGAGTTTGCATTGGATGTTGGCTTGTCAGTAGTTGCTGTAAGAGTTCATGTTGTACATTACAGAGCATTGTATTTTAAACATTGAAGTTTGAAATATACTATTTTATATATATTTTAATTTGAAGTTCGAGTTATTTTATTGCCACCCACGGGCCTTCCACACGCCCATTTACATATAACGCTTTGAAACAACTTTAAAAAGTGAGCAATGTCAGTGTTGTGATAATAGAGAATTTTCGTTATAAGTTGTTTCAAAAACTTATACGTATACTTATAGTTTAAAGGGTCTTGTCGAACTAAAATCAATTCAAATTGATTTTCATAATCTGTACCAAGTGGGGCATAACTATTCCCGATATAGTCAAGCTTCATCATCAACTAGGGACTGCGAATACAATGTCCTTTGCTAGTGTCAATTATGAACACGATAAACTAAATTCTAGTTGACGGGTCCTTGTAGTGTACGATAAACAAGACCTTTTAAAGTGAATCACTACACGAACGAGTCGATCATTTCAAAGTTCTCATGAAATTATAAGGTCAATTTTTAAGTTTTTACGTATACACTGTATGTACAGAGATCGCCTAGTATTAAAAGTGGGTGATCAAAGACTCGACAAGATGCGCAAAATCCAAAATGTCGTAAGAAAGGTATGTTTGTTTGTCTTCTCTTTACCAGTTTAAAGTCATTTTACCTACAGATGGTATTCCATATGCTGTATAAGAGACTCAAGATTCATTTGGTAACAGGATGCAGTGATTAAATCAATCGAAATACCTGAACTGAGTTGATAAAAGAAGCAAAATCAAAAACCCGTCGAACGAAAATGTATTTTTCACAAAATTTTCTGTTTTTAGATTGCCAAAACCACAAAACCAATTTCATCTATGGTTAATATACATAAAACTTAACATTACATGCATATCAGACGTTCCAGCTCCCCTTCAGTATCGAGTAAGGAGATGTTATAAAAAAAATTTATGATCAGCCAAGTGAGTGATTTTACCATGTGGACTCTAATGATATGTTCTTTGCATTTCAGAGTGGTTGGATTTACATGTTTCTATTGTCCTTCACTACGAACTGTTAAATTTCAAAACATTATAAATCACCTTATAGAACACCATGAAGATGAAGAGATGAAGATGAGAAAGATTATTTAAAATAGAGGCAAATTTAGAATGATTACAAGAAATTTCTCTGGAATAATACCAAATGAAGTGAAATCAATAAATAAACACATACTTGTAGAAAGTGATGAATTTATGACAATTTTAGTGATTGACAATGGCCTAAACTGGAACTTTTCCTCAGCCCCATCCACATAACGCTGTCTAGAATAGCATAGTATTTATTTCACACTTTGTTTCTCTAAAAACGCCTACTGGGCGTTTATTTTGCATTCGATTACATACAATTCTAACATTTTCAAGCTAATCACCTATATACCTTAGTTGAAAATTGATCAATAAATCTTCTGAATATTGAACTATAGAGCAGCTTTCCCCTATACCTATCATTTACATATGGCCCAAGTTAGCCACCTCATGGTGAAACTGGGAACTGACTACTGGCATCTACTGAAGGTCATTACATTTTTATATAACTTATTGATACCTTGCTGCAAAAGAATGATATAACTCCCCAATTAAATAGATAGTGTACAATTCAGATTTAATAAGTTTATTAATTATGAGACCCCATGTCCATAACAACCACAATCATGACAATGGGTGATACAGTGACATACATTTTCATTTATGATTTATTCAATTCTTGCATTACAATTCGACAATCATCTTGGGTGCCAAGGTGTAAAGTTTTCATACCTTGGAATCAAAGGGTAAAATAATTGAACTGAAATGTGACTTTAAAAACTGTTCCATTTATAAGGTGATACGCTTCAAGAGGTTTTTCTCTTAGCAGTGTACAGTGTACATATCGTATTGTATTCAAACAAAGACAGAACAACAAAATATACGCACACAGTGACCATTTAATCGAATGAATAAATGAACGGTGATGTACATGTTTATTTTAATTTGGACATACATTTTGCATGAAACCCCATTTTTCTTCTCTTTAAAGCATATAGTTATGGGTGTATGATCTGCTGAAACTCACGCTATAGGCTGATCCATTCATTTCTGTGTCAAAATATTTATTCCATGTTATTTAAGAGGAAACGTGAACTTTATCATGGTCAAATGGCAGCCCAAGACCCTACCTAAGTATAAAAAATTAAAGTGAGTAAAAATCTTCTATTGCTTTTGATATTTTAAAGCTTTTTAAATAAAACAGCACATATTATATCGCATTTATCTCTTTACATCGTAAAATCATTCACATATACGAAAAATGGTCAAAGTAATATATATTTTTCAAAGCATATGGATGTTCTTGTGCCTACAAAACCTTATTGAATCACCAGTAGCGTGTAATATAAACACAAATAAATCTTTTAAAAGTAACCGTTACAAGATATTTGAATTTTGCGCATCTTGTCGAGTCTTTGATCACCCACTTTTAATACTAGGCGATCTCTGTACATACAGTGGTATAAAAGGGCCTTTATACGCTGATTATAAACGTACAGAGTTGGATCTCCGCATAGTATATGTGTGGACCTACTGACCAGAATGGCTTATTAAAATTAATC